CCTCCTGGTGCTCGATGGCGTCCGCTGCGGTGGTGCTGGTATCTTGGGCTTGCTTGCCGCTGCCGCGGCGCAACGAGCTCTTGCGAACCGGAGCAGCGGATAGAGCAGCAGCATCAGCGAAGGGTCTCTCCTGATCCCAGGCGGCGCCACCCGTGGACGGAACAGCCACACGAGCAGCAACGGTAACCGACTCTTTGCGGCTGCATGCTGGCGTAGAATTGGTAGAGTGCGATCTGACGCCGCCCTCTGCTGCTGCTGCCGCCCTGGAATCCCGGCGCGCAGGGATGGCCGGGTGATGCTGCGCCTGCGCCTGCGATTGCGGTTGCAAATGGAGCGGATGCATCATCTCGTCCTCCGTCTTGGCGCGCAGAAGCTGAGGACGCGGCCACTGTGCGGGGCCTGAGACTGTGCTCTGCGTCGGTCTGGTCGCTGGCACAGCGCAGCGAGGAGGAGAGGCGGATTCAGGGAGGGAAGTGCTGGCCATGAGGGGTGAGAAAGCGGGTGTAGCGTTTGGGAGTGCGTTTCCAGCACCTTTGGCGTCACTGTGCTCATGCACATGTTCTTTCATGCCAGGCAGCACAAGCGGTGAGACATTCGACATCCTACCCGTCCAGCTGGGCAAGCGATGATGCGATAAGGATGCGCTGATTGCTACCACGGCCTCGTCCCTAGCGCCGGCTGTTGCGATGGCTCCGACCGCAGGGTCGTCGACGCTGCCGGCCGTGTCTGTGCGCAAACGATGTGATGTCGGCGCATCGGACGTAATACCAAGGCCGTGCGCAATGCTGTATTCAGCGCCTTCCAGCCCATGTCCCCGCTGCTGCGCACCGCGAGCATGCGCCTCATTCCATTCCCCTGCTCCTCCCGTCTGTAGAAACGCGGATCCAGGCGCGTCCGGTGCCACTGCTGCTGCCTCCGGAGCCGTCCCCGCAGCGGGACTGCAATGCGCCGAGACGGAGAGCGCCGAGTTCTGGCTGCGGAACGTCCACGTGCTCGCGCGCGTCGAATTGGAATATCGGGTCGAAGACGGCGCGGTGGTGTTCGTTGGTGAGGACATGTTGGTCGTTGTGGTTGTCGACGAATATGAGGAAGGTGAGGCGAATGCTGATGCAGGCGTTGGGAAGCCCGCAAAAGGGGAGGGGAAAGTGGATGGGTACGGCAAGGTGGAGGAGGAAGTGTTAATTGCTTCCGTCGATGCCGAAGATGCAAGCGCCGCTGCGCTGGCAAACGGGCGCTGGTGGGAACTCGAAGAATGGGATTGTGAATGAGCGAGGAGCTGATGGCCGACACTTCCTCCTGCGGCGCTAGCAGCGCTGCCTCTTCTCGAGCCGGCTATTGATCCCGAGGGGGGAGGGGGGATGGGAAAGGTGGACGGGTCGATGCCTTCGATGCTCGTCGGCGTGGCAGTTACTGGCACTCCGCTGCCGCTGACGTTGCCGGTCATCCGACTACTCCCCCCTCCGCTGATGCTAAACGTCGCGCTGGCGCTCGTATGGAAAGAGGCATAGCTGCCAGACGAGGAGGCGCGTGAACGCTCGCAATACAGCTGGAAGTTGGGCATGCCGGCCGGTGAAGATGCAACGTGAGGTAGAAATGACGTGGGAAGACCCTGCCCTTGGCCGGGGGGCGGGTGAGCAAGCTGCATCGTCACCGCCCCGCTCGCCCCTACTAGCGCGTCATCTACGCTGCCGCTCTGGAAATAGTTGCCGTACGCGCCGTGCCCCTGCCCTTGACTATGTGGCGGGAACTTGTAGCCCCCCGAACTGGGAGAAGAGGACAAGGCACCAGCGCTACTGCTGCTGGAGACGGAAGCGATCGAGCCGGACATGCTGGTATTAAGCGACACGGGCAAAGCGTGATGGAGCTTGCGCCTTTCACCGAGCTCGGAAGGAGGGGCATCTGCACCCGCACTCGCCATCGACGCCGCTGCTCCCGGAGCTGCCAATAATGATGACGCCACTGCGGGCCTTTGATGTGAATGATCCGGCTCCGGTGCTGGCCACGGACGGAGTTGGCGACGGAGGAAGCGAAGAAGAGGATAGCGGTGAAGCGGTGGTGGTTGCGTTCGCGTCGACAGCCATCCGCCACGCTGAAACCTGGGCAAGCTACCCTGTCCCGCTCAGAAGACAGACTTGACGCGTCGTGACTTGCAGGTGCAGGCAAACAGATGTCACTCTACCTCTACGATATGGGGTTGTAGGCTGGAGCAAGCTGCACGCGAATAAGATACAGGTGATGGTTACGGCGGTCCGTTCAAACCCAACCTCCTCTCCGTACTAATCAGGCTCTGCAGTCTGCAGCCCGCGCCGCGCCGCTCCTCACCTCATCATCGCCTCCTCATCGCCCTTCTGGAGGTCTGTGCTGCTGCTGCATTGGGAAGAGACTATTATTTGAATTAGCATCTTGACTTAGCCTGCGCCAGCAGCAGACGAGTGTGCAATGGGGTAGCCAGTTTCCGAATAAATAAATAAATAAATAAATAAATAAATAAATAAATAAATAAGGCAGGCGACAGGCAGTGTCCGTACGGAGTTTTCAGTGTGCCCGAGAGAAATCTAGAAGATCGGCTCCCTTTTTTTATAAAAAAAAAAGAAAGCTCCTTTCCAGGGTGGTGGTGAATCAGCGTGGAGGGCAGCATAGCAGCAGTGTTACAATTGCTCAGTGTGAGCCATTGCCCATTGAGCGGCGCAATATGTGCTTGTTCGTCTGATTATGATTGAAAAAGGGCGCTGAAAAAAGATCACCAGCTGAACTACGCTGCAAGCCTCCTGTTTCAATCACGCGCAATGCCCCACGCCGCAGGGAAGAGCTAGAGCCCAGAAGGCATGAGGGAGCTGTAGCGTGCAGACGCCTCCTCCACGTCTGCTCCCCCGGAGTTTCCTTTCCACAGGAAATCTGCGGGCAGACAGCGCCTTTTGCTCTTGCCTTTTTGTGGTTCCTGTTCACTTTTTCACTTTGAATCCCCAAGACGTTGAAAACATACCTTAAAACTATGTTTATGTACGTAAACTTAAAGGCACAAGCCATGTAATGCAAGGGCAGGAGCATCTGGTAGCGCTTCATAGCTCAGACAGCTGCACGATGTACACTGCCTACGCCATCCTGTGCCCGCAGAGAGCTAGGTAGGAGAGGGCTGGAGATGGGAGTCGCAAGCTCCCTTCTTATCTTGCATATCGGACGAACACAGTCACACTCGTACATGCATAGGAGGATGCGACACCGAATAATGCAAGTGAACCCTTTTTTAATCAGTGCCTTGATCACTGCTGACGTGCTTCTCTCAAAAGTTCAAAGCCTAACAAGAGTGTCGAACCGACGCATTTGCTTCCCCTTTAGTATCCGGTTTTAACAGGGTTTTGGCGCAAATTATTTCATGTTCGACACTATGTTAAAAATGCAAGCGAGAGGAAAGAAAAGCATCAATATATGGATAAAAATACGTGTCGATGCCTGCATGCTGCCGCGCAACGCGCCGATCATGCTCGCATCATGCCTCAGTTGCCTGACCCCTGCCAGATCTTGCCCTAGTCCTGCCGGAAGCTGTACAGCTCCAATGACGCAGGTAAGACGATGCCTGATAAGATGTGTGATACTCGATGCCTGATGCAGTCTGCCTCATGAGTGATGAAAGATGATGCGATGATGAGACTCGAACAGAAAACTAGTTATAACAACCCTGGATCGATAACCAAAATTCACCTCAAATCACTGTGTATTCACCGTTTACAGTTAAAATCATCGTTAACCCCAATGATCGGAATCATCTTCGCAGCACTTGGTAGATCACCTCTGGATCACCCGGCACCCCAGAACTGAAGGACTACGTATATAGCACTGTGAGTCGGTAGAGGCAAACAAGAGTATTTCGTCTTGCACATCACCTTGCATCATCATACTGCATCCATGATCTAACATGCGCCGGATCGACGTCAATCCAATTTTCAACCCGAACGAAATGTCTGCAAAGCAAACCCTCAATGACGAGTCATGGTGGTGGTGGATATCGGTCACCCAGTCACCTACGAATCGCGACTGCAACGCACGAACACGATTTGAAGTTTCTGAAGCATATTGAGGCCCATTGGTAGATCATCTGGATCCTGTTTGCTCAAGGACAGATCCGTGCTGGTCGCTTTCTCACGGTAGAGATACACGAAATGATGATGTTGATATCAAGGGAAGCATGTCGATTCAGACCATGTGGCGGACCGAAGCCCACAAAAATTCAAGGCTCGTGCAAGGGTCAATGACTCTCAAACCACCCGGTAAAATCTTCCTCGTTGCTTTCTCTGCCAATGTCTCCTCTATCCCGCTGTCGGCCTTCCTCGCGCATAAGAGAGGATGAAAGCCAGGCGCCGAACGCCAAACAAATGAGTGATGTGTGATTGTATGAATGATCCGATGCGCTCGATATTTAGTGAGCTCCAGGTCACTGTTCACGACAGACATATTTTCGCTGCAATACGGATCGAGTAGTCCCTCATCGATGTTCGCGCTCTATGTGTTGCTGTGCACTGCACCAAACACAAGCCAGCGTATCCTCCCAACCATGCAAGCTATCATCAACCTGTGGGATGGGTTCAACCGTGACCATATATACATTGTACGAATTGGTCGGCTTTCCTCTTGCTGTATTTTGTTGTAGACGGCAAAGGATGTTTGAATGCGGGCAGCGGCGGAAAACGTTGAAAATTGATATGAAATGAAGCGGATCATCCGTCGTCGAGGCAAAAAGGCCAAGCCGATCACAAGAGTCTACTGTGGCCCCGTCGGAATGCTTCAGGCGAGTAGATATATATATAATAGAGACGAGACGAGCTGGAAAGAAGTTGCGTATGCACCCTCGAAATTCATTTTCATCGCGTGCCGTTTCGGCCCTTGCCCGCCGCGCGTGGCAGCAGTCGGCAAGCGCTTCCTACAAGCAAAATGTACTTCCAACTTCCAACCGAGTTCTAATCGGCTCATTGCCTAATGCCGAATGGCTCTCATCCGATATCGGTGACTTCGATTGTCAGACCTGACCGGGCGAGCAAGTTTTCAGACCAATTGCTTGACTTGAGCCATCCTGAACCCAACGGTGCGTGATTGGTGGGAAGAAAATTAGGTTGGAATTACTCTATATAGGGTTTACGTGCTTTGCTCTCGCTCCCTACTGGGCCAACGGGTTGGCGGAATCGCGGTGCCCATGTCTTGCCTGGCATTTTGCTTTTTTGGTTGCACCGGCAGCTGGGTCTGACGTGCTGTACATCTTATAGCAGGAGGCTTGAAGATAATCGTTGTGCATGCGCCTGGACTTCAGGCTTCATGCTTCGCTTCAGGCCGCTTCAGCAGAGATGAGTCAAGATAAGTGAAGACGTATGTTCGTATTTCGCTCGCCTACACCCTGGGCGCATGGCGCCTGCGCCCCTGTACCGAGCCTGCAATTGTTTTTTTTTGGTTATGAGGGTGACGCTAAGGCCGTCTGTTTCTACGAGGTCCTATCCTCGAACGTGGGGAAGCTGCTACCACATGGTCAGGCATTGGGCTTTGTATGTACACACAGGAATTGCTGTGTACGCGGATCGATTGATTGCTTCCTAGTGGCCTTGACGAAGGTGATAGATCTCGTTGTGTTTACATTCGGACAAAGCTTCGACGGCTGTCGGAAGCTCGCAAGCTCTGCCGTTTGGATCCACTTCCTGTAGCCTCTCACCTAGCCCTCCTCCTTGGCTCGCAACTCTCTCCTCTCTCCCTTGTGACCTCCTCCCTCTTGAGAGCCTCACGTTGCCCAACTTTCTCGAGAAAAGCGCGTCCACGAGCGCGGCAAAGAGAAACGCAAGGAGAAAAGGCTTGAGCTACGCCCAAAAAGGGGTCTACTGCTTACAGCAGTAGTCAGCTGATGAGTGTCCACTCTGATGGGGCACTTGACCGACGCGAGCCACACGGAGCGGAAACCTATTGCTGGAAACCAAAATCTTCCTTTGGGTAGGTGCTGTCTCCCAGCACCAGCACCAGTAGCCGGGCGCCGCTACTCCAACGCCCGCGCATGCGTGTTTGCCGCCTTTGGGCCCACTGAGCACTGCCGCTCTCTTTTGGGATCGAGGATTCAACTTGACGCCGAAAAGTCCATTCAGCAACAACTCGCATCCCTCTCATTGCAAGCTTGGTCAACAAGCTCTCTTCCTCAACTCTCCTTCGGTTCTCACGAGCTTTTCCACCCAAAGCCAGTGATCCTGGGCCTGGATCTGCTCCGCTACCTCGCAGGCTTCCATCAGGATGTCCTACCAACGCCCGCAGGACACACACATTCTCCCCAACACCTCTGGGTATCAAGTCCAAGGTGGCGGCTACTCGGACTATCCACAACAGACCACCGGCGGCATGTACAACAACAACGCTGCTAACCAGAGCGGATACTACTATTCGGACACGCCAGCTGCTGGTGCATCGTACGGTGGTACTCCTGCCAAGGATTACGAGCAACCAGGCTGGAGCCAGCAGCCGAACGCAGGTAAGCAATGCAAGTAGCCCCTAGGCAGGCGAGGAGTTATCCATTCCTTGCTAATTTGTTGCACCCTCTCCCGCTGGATCTTCCAGCTCAACATGCGGCACAGAAATATTCGTACAAGGCACCTGCTCAGAAGCGCCGCAGCAAATGGCTCCTGATTGGGCTTCCCATTCTCGTCCTGATCATCGCAGGTGCTGTCCTCGGGGCTATTTTCGGCTCCCGAGCAGCAAAGCGGAACAACTCCAACAGTGTCGGGAGTGCCCACGTTGACAACCCAAAGCAAGCGAGCACGGCGAATGCCCACGCAGAAGCAGGCGGCGTGGACAAGCTGTTCTACGGCAGCACAGATCCTTATGGAAACCCCCGTTTTCTGCCGACTGTTAACACTGCTGCGCCGACAGGCAATGGCAACCCGGCAGTCACATGCAATGACGACACGGATCCTTCGTCTCTCAGCTTGAACAACCTGCGTTCGCATCCGCGCATTATCGCACCCGGCTACATGTGGTCATGTATGGCCGAAAAAATCAACAAGGATGCTTATCTCACCATCATGAACGATTCGGTCATGGCCAATGCCACTGCTTTCGCGGCCATGCCTCCTACCAACTACTCTATTGATGGCGGATACAATAGGTCCGGTATTCTCGACGTTTCTCGCGAGGTACAGCTACGCCTCCGGTCTTGGGGCTACGCATACAAGATGACCAATGATCGGAGCTGGGTGCAGAGGGCGTGGGAGGAGCTATCAGTCGCAGCAGGTAACAACAGCAATGTGCAGTTCGGTCAGGGACCACCCCCTCATCCTAATGGACACTGGAACCCGGCGCACTTTCTCGATACCGCAGAGATGACTGCGGCGTTTGCAATCGCATTTGACTGGATGTACGACGCCTGGAACACCACGCAGAAGGCGTTCATCGTGGACTGGATCATCCAGTTTGGTCTCACGCCAGGTCTTAACCAGTACCAAACCGACGACGGCTGGTGGAAAAAGGATGTTAATGGAAATGGAAATTGGAATTGTGTGTGCAACTCGGGCATGCTGCTGGGTGCGCTGGCCATCATAGGCGACGACGCCAAAGACCTGAGCCAGACTGCGACAAAGGTTGTCAATCATGCCATCGATAATATCAAGAACAACTGCTTTAATGGCCCTTACGCCGATGGCACCTGGGCCGAGACGGCTAACTACTGGTACTTTGGCACCAACGCTGCCGCTCGTGCCGAGTCTGCCCTTGTCAGTGCGACAGGAAACAATCAGGGCTTGAACCAGAAGTTCTACCAGACCGGTTACTACCACATGTACGTCAGCGGCAACGGCGGTCTGTTCAACTATGGAGACCACGGCCCGAACAAATTTAGCACCAACGCCAACGCCATGCTCTGGTGGGGCAACTATTACAAGCAACCGCTGCTTACGCTCTTCCAGCGCGATCGCGCAGATGCGCTCGGGGACCCAATCGCCATGTTCTGGTACGACACGAGCGCAAAGGGCGCCTTCTGGAACAATCTCCCGCTGGACAGGTACTTTGATGATCCGCGCGGATCTTGGATGAGCATGCGCAGCTCGTGGACCGACTTTAACGGACTTTTCGTCGCCATGAAGGCGTCCGCGCTCACTGGGCACCAGACACACGGTGACCTTGATGTCGGTGACTTTGTCCTCGATGCGATGGGGACCCGCTGGGCTGGAGAGTACGGCTCGGCGCAGTACCTGAGCACGGACTACTTTAGCAACGAGACCCAAGGCTCCACTCGCTGGCAGTACTTCCGAAAGGGCACGCAAGGCCAGAACACACTCGTTATCAACAAGGCCGACCAGAGCGTGATGGCTGCGCCGAGCAACACATGGGGCTCGCAACACAATTTGACGCAGACGTCAGACATCAACTACAAGCCTGGCACGAACGACATTGCGTACTTTGTCACTGACATGAGTTCGGCGTACAACCAAACAGCCGACAAGGTCCAGCGCGGCATCCGCTTGCTTAACGGCCGCAGGCAGGTGCTGTTGCAGGACGAGATCGCGGCGGGCGTAGCGCAGAACGGTATCCAGTGGCGCATACAGACCAACGCGACTGTATCCATCAGCGGCAGCATTGCAACGCTGACGATCAAGTCAATCGACGACCCAAACGCAGCAATCGGCCTCAATGTGCCAATCTCGGCGAAGACGCTCAAGGTTCAGATCCTCTCGCCGCCCAATGCTCAGTTCACCCACAACGGTCCGCCCGCTGAAAGGCTGTACGGCACAGACCCGGACCCAGCCAATGGTGGCGATCCGATCAACACGGGCGTCACAACGCTCATCATCGACATCCCCAACCCGTCTGGCGCGACGACAATCCAAACACTGTGGCAGCCGCAGTGGGACGACCTCACGTCCGCGGACAGCAGCACTCCACAAAGTGTACCGCTTGTCAGCTGGACGCCCACTAGTCATAGTTGAACTGCAGGCGGATATCGCTCGCTTTGCCTGCGAGGCATCGCTTGCTCTTTGTTTCCGCCTCATTCTTTTTCGATCATCGATGAAAAATGGTATTGACCGCGTGCACAACAGGCACAACAGACGGGGTATTCACGGAGTAATATTTGAGTTCACCAAAGCACTCAGCTTAGCCGCCGATCGTTATGCCCCCTACTTAACGATCCTCCCTACGCAAGAATCACCTTTGCTCCCCTAACATCATCCCTGCCTCCACCGGACCTTTTTCTCTTTGAGCATACACTTTATGTCTTTTCGATCCCACATGACTTGAATGCAAATGGACACTTCACTTCCCTTGACAGTGTGCGAGAGCATGCGAGGGCTCTGTCTGATTCTTTCCCTAACGGCGATGAGATCAACGTAAGCAAGGATGCGATGAAGCTCGCAGCAGCGGCAGCGTGCACGCGTACAGCCCTGGGGGTGGAGAGGGAAGTCACCCTGCCCCTTACTCTATCCTTTACTTTTTATGCTCGCCATGCCTGGTGTCGGGAGCTCAGCAGATGGCAGGAAGTGATGCGGCGCAGGGTTTGTTTGGCCAGAGCAGGAAAAATGATTCGATAATTCGTCCCCACTCTTCTCCTTGTTTTCTCGCCTGCCCTCATTCGCTCGCTCGTCCAGCTTCCCTGCTGTCGCTTCGACATGGCCGTGGGATGCAAAGAGAAGAGTGCCGACGAGCCACTAGAACAGCGCCGATCCCCCAGCGACAGCAGACGATACTCGCTGCTTGATCAGCTGCTCGAGGGGGATGCGCAAGATGGTCCTTGTATAGGCTGCGCTGGACAGGACGATGGTGAATGGAGAAGAGGCAACCAGCTGGGAAGAGCAGCAAGGCAGCCTTTACAATACGACCTACCACGATCAGTGGTTTAATTTGATGGGTGTCTCGGTGGATAGCAAAGCACTGTTGACGCACCAGTTGCGCTGAAGAAGAAAGGCCGGCTGGCACTGGGCCAGTCGTTGCAATTTGGTGTTGACTGGCACCTTGCGAACCTATGAAGAACTGACTGGACGCTTGTTGACGCATCCAATCACACTAGGGGGCAGTGCACCGCACCACTCTCCAACTTTCGCCCAACCCGCGCCTGCCCCTCTCAGGGGTCCACCGCAGGAGTACCGCAGCCTGCGGCACCGCGCAGAACCACGAGAAGGCACCAGGAGAGTGAGGATGCGGTGAGGAGGAAGGCCCCACAGTCTGGCAGGACATACCCAGGCACAGCGCTCCACCCCTCATTCCACCCTGCCGCTCTGCCATCTAACTGTGCCGAACCGGTACTTTCTTTCTTTTGAACCGCAAGCAGCTGGCTGCCATTGACCGACACACTGTGGGTGAAGCAATCTGAATTTAATTTTGAATATATAATAATCGAATTCTTTAGTATCGCTATGCTTAACGCTGGTGGAGGATAGTGCAGCACCTGCTTTAGAGAGCGTCATTGACACACCTGTCTCCGCCTCTGCGCGCGACTGACTCTCAAAGCGCCTCTTTGGAACGCCATATACTGTTTGTACCCAGGCAACACCCGCCTTGGCGTATAATAAGGCGCTCGATATTGTCGATCCTGCTTTGCAACATCGACCTTATCCGCCGGTTCTCTCCACCATCCTGCACATATTTGGACTACGCGGCTAGACCAGGTCACCATGTCTGCCGAGTGGCCCCTGGACTTCATCTACGGCCTGCCGCAGCGGCCGCAGACGCGGTCGCTCGGTGACCACCTAGCAGAACACATCACCGAGTCGGGTCGGGCCACAACATTGCTCGACTGTATCTGCAACTCACCGCGGCCAGCGATCTGGTCCCCGGACCTATCACGTGGGCCACTGGACCATAGAACGATCAAGCATTTCATCTCCAACTTCACCCTGCCCGTCTCGACGCGCTCGCGCGGCAATCCGCTCAAGCAAAATGACCGCGTGATGATGGCGCTGCCCACGGGCCCCGAGAACGCACTCGCGCTGCTCTCCGTCGCCGCATACCACACCTGCGCTCCGGTCAACGCGAGCTGCACGGCCGGTGAGCTACGCGACGATGCTGTGCGCCTGCGTGCACGTGCGGTCGTCACGACGCGTGATGCGATTGACCGCCTCGAGCTGTGGTCGCTGTTCGAGGAAGAAAACATGGAGGTCATCTTCATCGACCCACGCGGCGTCGGGCCAGCGGGCCTCTTCGATATGGCCGTCCTCGAGCCGGATGGACCGACGCCGTATCAACTCGGCAGCCTGCCAAAGTCTCAGCTGCACGGCCTGCGCGACTCGAGTCTCGTCTTGCACACATCTGGCACGTCCGGAAAGAAAAAGGTCGTGCCGTACTCGCTCAGGCACCTCATCGTCGGCACATGCTGCGTCGTGTTCTCGTGGGAGCTCAAACCAGACTCGGTCAACAGTGCGTTCCGTCGCAGATGGCCCCTTTCTTGCTGCCTACGATGCTGACCTGCATCTCCCACATTCTTGTGCAGTGAACATGATGCCGCTCTTCCATGTCGGCGGGATCGTCCGTAACCTGTGGGCGCCCATGTTCTCGTGCGGCAGCGCCATCATGTGTGCTGGCTTTGACGCCACTGCGTGGTGGAAACTCGCCAAACAGCTCGGTGCCACATGGTTAGTCTCCCATACCTTTTTCATTCTCGCCCTAATGCCTCGCATTGCGATCACTTACCTGCCACACTCTTGATGCTCCGTGTCTCTCACTCGTGGCACAGGTATTACGCCGCTCCGACCATGCACCACGCCATCCTGGCTTCGAAGCCAGAGGGCATCGATGCGAGCAAAGAAACCAAGATTAAGATGATCGCAAATGCCGCCGGCGGTCTGCTGCCATCACTGGCCGTGCAGCTCAAGGAGACATTTAGCGGCACTGCTGTCCTGCCGTCGTATGGTATGACAGAATGGTGAGTCTCGAGCGTTTGAGCCGTGCATTGCAACACCTTTGCTGAACAGTGCGATGCCGATTGTTCCTGCATCATAGCATGCCTATCGCCTCCCCACCGACTCATTACCAACTCGACCGGCCAGGCTGTTCAGGCATCGCTTGCGGGCCAGACATTTCCATTCGCGATCCGTTCAACCGCGAGCGTGAACTCCCTATCGGGCAGACTGGCGCTGTTTCTGTGCGCGGCCTACCCACGTTCTCAGGCTATGAAGTCGAGATTGGTCAGCCGCTCGACGCATCCTCATTCTCAACCGAAGGGTGGTTCGACTCCGGCGACATGGGCCACATGGACGCTGACGGCTACATCTACATCACTGGTCGGTCGAAGGAGATCATCAACAAGGGTGGCGAGGTCGTCTCACCTTTCGAAGTTGAGGAAGCCATCACGCAGGCATGCAAAGAACGCGTCAAGCAAACGCTTGCCTTCTCTATTGAACACGCCGTCCTGCAAGAGACGATCGGCGTCGTCGTCGTGCCCGTCCCGAACCAACCACGCATTGGCCTAGCGGAACTTCAAAACCTCCTGCGCTCCCACCTGCATCCGTCCAAGTGGCCGTTTGCGGTAGTGTACATGGATGACTTGCCCAAGAACCAGGCAGGCAAGCCGTTGCGCATCAAACTTGGTACTCGTCTCGGCATTGGGCCCCTCTCTGACGATGTGCCTGCACTGCAGCGGCACTTTGAGGCGAAGGCGCCCGACAAAAACGTGCCCCTGTCCGAGCCGATCCCCTGCAACGTTGTCTCCATTGATGTGCGTGCAGTCGAGCGCGCCTGCTACCGCATCCCCGGTATCGTCGAGGCGGCCGTGCGGCAACGCAAGGACGGCGCACCGGAAGCGTTCATCCAAGTGGAAGAGGATGCAGATTACGATGCGGCAGACATCGATCGAGCACTGGCGCAGGTCCTTCATGGTTACGTCGTGCCGAACCCGCTGCACGTCTTTCGTCAGCCGCTCGCCAAGGTCAACGGCCAGATCGACTTTGACACAATGGAGGAGGAGGTCAAGGCACAGAATGCGTCCTCCATGTCGCGCACGGCGATCATTGTCCGCGACATCATTGCCAAGTTGCTTGATACCGAGTCTGGCACCATCACGGCCGAGTCGGACTTCTTCCTGCTTGGTGGCAACAGTCTGCTGCTCGGCCGTCTGGTCCACTTGATCCGCAAGGAGACAGGCGTCTCTCTTGAGGTCTCTTCGCTCTTCAACAACTCGACCGTCGCGGGCATCGCAGAGGTCATCGAGGAGGAGATCGGCGACGGAGAGGACGACGAAGATGATGACATGGATGGATACTACGATGAGAAGAGCGGCCTGCCCAGCTCTAGCTTCCTCGGCGCCCATCGCTACGACGATGATGACCCTAGCGACACGCTGTCCAGCCATGACTACCAGCCTCGCAGCCAGAGCCACCCGTGGGTCATGTTCATCCAACTCATGCCACTCCTTTTCTTCTACCCTTTCAAAGCGGCCTGGACGTGGACCGTCATCCTGCACGGCCTCGCCTTCTCGGCTTATTACATTTCTGACAACTTCTGGGAGCGCGTAGCCGTCCTGCTCGCCTCGCTGATCGTCGCAAGGTTTACAAGCCGTATCATCTGCCCCGTCACTGCCATCGCGTTCAAGTGGCTCATCATAGGCCGGTACAAGCCTGGCAAGTACCCCATGTGGTGCAACTACCATCTGCGCTGGTGGATCGTCAACCAGTCGCTCAAGACGGCTGGAAAGGGTCTCTTTGGGCTGACCCCCGATCTTCAAAAGTGCTACTACCGTCTCCTCGGGATGTCCATCGGCTCAGACGTCAAGATCGACAAGTATGCTAAGCTAGGCGAGTACGACCTGATCACTGTTCACGATGGGGCACGTATCGACAAGTCGCTCGTTCGCGGGTTCTGCGTTGAGCGCGATGGCTACTTCCGTCTGGAGCCTATCATCATCGGCCGCGACTGCGTCGTCAACACCTTCACCCAGATCTCGCCCGGTGCACGCCTTGCTGACGGCACTGTCTGGGGCCCGCAGTCGTCCTCACACGAGGAGCCGTCCTCCGATGCGTACGCAGCATTCAACAGGGCAGGTATCCCGCGTCCCTCTTTGTGGCTGATTGCGTTGGTCGGCGTCCCGATCCGATTCTTCGTCAAATTCCTCGGCTATGTGCCCTGGTTCGCAGCGCTTTTCATGCTTCTCTCGCAGCCATTCTCGTTCAACAGGCACGACAGCATCGAGGGCGTCATTGCCTGGTTCGCCTACCCGCGCCGTATTGGATGGCATTACGTCGCTCGCGTCGTGCGCAATGCCATGCCGCCGCTCATGAACCTCATACTCGGTGTCGTCGTCAAACGTTGCTTCGGCCTCAACCGCGAGGGCTCCATGCGCAACGCCACGGAGCTTTCGCTGCTCCGTCGCTGGATTGGGGCCGAGCTGTTGTCTCAACCCCAGTTGAGACGTGCTTTCTCGCTCCTGGGTACGCACTATGAAATGACCTCCGTCATCTATCGTGCCATGGGCGCCAAGATCGGCCGACGCGTCTATTGGCCAGGCTCTGGCATCTACTGCCCAGACCCGGAGCTGCTAGAGATTGGCGATGACGTCGTTTTTGGCTCACGTTCCGAAGTTTTTACTTCCGACAGTATTGGCTGGGCTCGCGTGCGCGTCGGACGCGGGGCGATGATTGCGGACAGAGTCGTGCTTCTACCCGGATGCAGCATTGGCAAACAGTGCGTCATGGGCTCCGGTGCCTTGGCACGCCGCAATGGTTCCTACGAGGAAAACTCGGTGTGGATGGGTGCAAAGAACGGCGAGGCTGTCAGCTTCGGCAAGGCCGCCAAGCAAGAAGCCATGGGCGGCGAGGACGAGACGCTCACGCCATTCGGTCGCGCGTTCTACAAACGCCAAGCCAACTTCTTTGTCTTCCCGTACTTGATGCTGGTGACCATCAACATCTTCATGTCCGTCTTCGCCTCGGCCTACTGGGCGACTCCAGCCGCCGCGACAGTTCTGCTCCTCAACTTTCTCCGAAGTAAATTCGGAGATAAGGCCGCATTTCTGTTCGCCGATCACTGGTACCGCCCCGGGCTTCTCTATGCATCCATCGCCATTTGTTTTGTCATCATTATGTTCATTCAGTGCATGCTCGCCTTTGCATGGGTAATCGGAACTAAGTGGGCCGTCATTGGAAGACGCCGCGAAGGGCGATACGACTGGGACAAGAGCAGCTACTGCCAACGCTGGCAGCTTCACCTTACGCTCCAGCGCTTGCTAGGGAGAGGCTTTGGCGGCCATGTCATTGGCTGCATCTCTGGCTCGATCTACGCTGTCTGGTACCTGCGTGCGCTCGGCGCTCATATTGGCCGCGAGTGTGCGATCTGGGCAGGTGGCAAGCCGTCTTTGCAGCTGACTGAACCGGAAATGGTCACGATGGGCGATTACGTCTCGATCGATGACGCGTCTGTCGTCGCTCACATCAACTCCAGAGGGCGTTTCAGCCTCAACAAGCTTCGCATTGGTGACGGCTGCGCCATGCGTTCAGGGAGTCGTCTTCTCTCAGGTGCCAGCATGGAGCCGCGCTCGATCCTTTTGGAGCACACGCTCGTCGCCTCAGGCGAGATTGCAGAGGCTGGCGCTGTCTACGCTGGCTGGCCAGCGCGACAGCTGCGCGTCCGCAAGCCAAAGGCACCGTACGCCGATGGAGGGGATTCGTCGCGCACGAGCAGCACGATCAACATCGGCAACAAGGGCGGATTTGACTACAAGGGGTCCCCCAACGGCACGCCTTATGGCTCTCAAAATGGGCACGGCTGGAACGGGCCGGCAAGTCCGCTGATGCAGCAGCAGACATTCGGGTTCAAATGATCGCACATCCTCCATACCGCTGTGCTCCGTACCACACCATACCACAACCACATCACATCATGCTGCGCAACACACACCAGTCTTTTCGCAAGTGTGCACGACTTTGAATCATAGCAACCGACTCTGTCTCCAAGCGCGAGATCTGTTCTTTTGTAGTCTTAGATGAACACGATAATCATTTTAAAGTCAATGCAGACATGCAGTTTATGCCCTCCGGTTATTCTCATTTTCCAAAGTGAGCGCAAGAGCGTATTATACAAATTACTTTTTGATGATATTTTTACGCTTTCGAGCGCCTTTGGGAGCGGCTGGGGCCTTTTCGGTCCCTGCTAGTGCAACTGGAGCTTCCTTTACAGCGTTAACACTGCCGCTTACGCTTCGAGCAGCCTGCTGCTCCGCGATCAATGCATCGATCGCAGCTTCCTGCTGCTGCCTAAGCAGCGCGAGCGCCTCGTCATCCAGGAGCCTGCCTGATGTACTTGACCTATAATTCTCCTCTTTCTTCTCATCACCTAAATCCAATAAGCGGCGCTTTTTGCGTGCCCGCTTCGCCTCCTGGCCCCTAAAGTAGCGCATGTACACGACCGTCTCTGCGAACCCGACGAGCAACGCGCCGGCGAACGCGACGAGAGCGCGAGCGGGAGGGGCGAGGCCGCCACTGTTCCCTGCGAACCAGGCGGCGACGGCGACGGCGCACATGCTTAGCAGAACATTGGCAATGGCGGAGATAATGGAGCGCGTATAAGCCCACTCCTGTGCTTCTTGCTCGGGCGTCAGCAGCTGCGCGCCGCGCTCCATCGGCACAACGGGCGGATTCATGCCCGAGCGCAGGTGCGGCGTTGCATGTGTGGAGATCGTGTACGGTGCTGCAGCGGATGAACCCTTGAAGGTCCAACCGGCAGTCAGGCTCGGCGCCAAGCTGTCGCCGGCAAAAGATGTCATGCGAGCATACTCGTCCGCTTCGAGCTGCGCCTTGATCCGCGCTAGGCTTGCTTCAAGCTCCGGCGAGCGCACGAATTTCGGCTTCGGCGGCAAGTAGAGCGTCGCGCCGTGCACGAGTGAGCTGAGAGTGTATCGTGTCCAGGATGCGTCGTCATTGCTATCCGCTTTTTGGGGGGTTGCGTTGGCGTTCTCGCTGGTCGATGTTCGGCCCTTGCAGCTGGATACAGGTGCCGGCGTCGAGAGCGCTACTTGCAGCCGGGCGAGCGTACGCGTGTCGCCTGTGAGGGCCCACATGCGTTTTGCTACGTCGCGCAGCACGTGATGATGTAGAACGACCACTTTGGCGTCTGGCGCTGCCGCTGGCTGGGCGATGCATGCATTCTCCGGCTGGACACGTTGCTCCGTAGGCGGGATCGCGGGACTGCTGCCAGTCATGGCGACAATCACGCTCGGCTCCTGCTGCGGCCAGCCGTCTGGCGCAGGTAGAGGGTGCTCAAGCGCATCTTGGATGCTCCGCCGCAGGGCTGTGGGGAGAATCCAGTGATCTGCGCTGGACCCCCATTCGCGATCGCCCTCGCCATCTGCACTATCCGCTGGGGAAGCGGATGAAGGTGCTTTCGACGCTGATCCCGATCCTGACGCCGCTGGCTGCCCGTCACCCGGGCCCGAGACGAAGAGGAGATGCCTGAGGTCCGCAACTGCGCGTGGTGAGAGTACAAGATCAGGCATGGCAAGCCAAGGCCGCTCGGGGGCTCATGCGAAACGCAGCTAATACGCAGCTAGCGACTTTGCAGCCTCGCACTCTTTCTTTGCCTTCTGACTGTCAACTGCAAGGCTCGAGACACGGCTCAATTCTAGATGCCGTCCTGTCGAGCTGGAAGCACGCTAACCAAACCCGGAACCAACTGCGCGACTCGCCGCCTCTCTCCCTCCCTTCTCTCCCTCTGTCGCGCGCGCAGTGTGAGCCGTGTTATGACAAAAGAAAGAGAGTGTCACGCTGCGCCGAATCTCGCTCGCTGACTCCGACACCGGCAGGCCACAACCTACGGGTCCCAGAGAAGCGCTGTTGGCTGAAATGGGGGCCAGCTGGGCTGCTGCCCTCTAGGCACTTGAACGTGGATGAGTAGAGAGACGCTGGTCGCTGATATTCTCGCAGCAGCGGCTGGCACTTGGCTGGCCCCTTTGCACTTTTGACCGGCTTTTCTTGTTGCCGATGAGCCCCGAAGGAATTGAAGTGATTCAAGAATGCACGTTTTGGCGTCATTGGGGATCATCGGAATATGCATGTACAATTGTGGAGAGAGCACGCATGCGGCGTGCGATGTGGTGGTACAATCGACCTCAGAACCCAATATCCGCGGGAAGAGCCGTTGCCCTCAGGCGAAAAAAATAATCCAAAGGTGAAAGAGCCTCCTTCTCACGCCATGACATGGTCACAAGCCACAATGCATCAGCATGGAAGTCATGGACACGTTGACGAGTGAGCAACAGGACGGATGCCAATTTACCTCAAGCACCAAGCTATCATATATAGTGTTGCGAACGTGGGCGGTGGGGGAGGCACTGTAGAGAAGAGAGGGATACTGGCCAGATCATACAAGACTGAGCACCATACACCGCATATACCACATAGTCTACCATCAGCCATAGCACCCCCAGGCCGATGTGCCGATGGTGGAGCCCATGCCGCGGGAGGACTGAATGCATGGACACGCGATCATCTCCGTCCTTCACAACAACAACAAGCCAGCAGCTCCTTTTTGAGATGGAATTAGCCAGCTCGTGCTCTGGGGAAGAGATGGAGCGACGGAGATGCGGGCCGCACAGCTGGCGGATGTAAAAAGCTGCCAAAAAACCTGTTTGGTTCGGTCGAAAGAACAATGGCCACTGGACGGCAGTGTGACGACCTGTCCACGGTGCCGGTGCGTCGGCCCGCTGAATGGCCGAGCAACAACCGCGCGCAGCAGTTGGCGTGTTCCTCTCTCTCGCTGACTCAATTCTCGGCTGCCATCGGGTCCACCCATCAAAGATGTCTTCTCACTACCCATGCTCAGGATACATGATCGTTAACTCCCATCATCGCTGCTTCTCCTTCAGCTGCGTACCCCAGTCGAAGCGTGCCCCCTTTTGAGGTGCGTTGTGGAAGAGTACAACGAAGCCAGTAGCGACGGCAGGCCGCCGCGGTGAATGTTCCGCTTGCGACACCGCCCTGCACGACAGCGAAACGAGGGCGCGGCGTCTGTACAGTCACGGTGTGGGCGCACCGACTATCCGCCATCGGCCATCCTCTCACTGCTTGCATCATAGTGTCGTGAACATCCGCACAGCGTACACCTCATCGTAACCCCTCCCCCCAGCCAATTCATCAAAGGAGCTTGCCACATATATCACGCGGGTATCGTCTCCTGCCCTGTCTGCGCGCTCAATAGTTCGCCCAGTGTCATCAACGTCCCAGGTGAGGGTCGGGGAGGAACTTGACGAGCAGCGCAGCCCTGCTGGCAACCCGCAGGCGCTGCTTCATCAATCTGCACGCTGTCGACACAAAGACAAGCTCGGAGGTGCCAAGTCTACAGCCCCTTGATTGAAGCTTGCGTATCGTCAGCGCACCTTGCATTGCCAGAGTCACCCCAGATAACACGTGCTTCTCGTCGCCAACGCAACAACAACATCCATTCACACCATATTCCCTTGGGCAATGCACAACATGTCTTTAGCGGCGGCCGTTCCTAGCGCTCAGATGTCGGGCTTGTCCGTCGCGGACCAGACCGGACCAACCCGGCCCACTTCGTCCGAACGCGTAGCCACCGCACTCTCCAGCGAAGCTGCTCAGAAAGAGGAGGAGCGCAAGCAGCGGCGCAAGGTCTACACCAACCCAGCACATGCGGCCTCACTTGTCAACCCCCACAAAGAGCGCGACGAAGTGGTCGCTGTGTCCATACAAGCAGCCGGCGAGGCAGTATTCGAAGCTGGGCATCATGCATTCGACATACCTGAGGGGAGGAGAGAGTGTGTGGTCATTGGCGACTCGCCCTCGTCGTCTCATCCAGCGTCGGCCGCTCAATCGCCGCCTACCGGGCCGAGCGCAGATGTACATACGATGGGAAGGCAGACTTCCGGCGCCGGCAGCGTGTCCGATGGCAGCGCCAGCTCCCCCGGCTCGAACGCTGTCAGCCCTGTACCATCCGGCATATTTGGAAGGATCGGTTATGCAGTCGGGATGGACCGACGCGGATCGTCCACATCCGCGCAGGGCCCCGGCGCAAGTGGTCTCTCCGGACCTCGCGGTGTTGATGCGACGCACCAGGTTGCAGCTGCTAACAACAGCGGAAACGACGCGCCCAATGCGACCAACACGCCGCCGCAGTTTGTTTTCCCCAAGCTGGGCAGCAGGCGGAATACGCAGGCGGACATCCACGACGCGCACAACGGCAAGGGCTCCGTCGCTAATCCACGGAAAAGCAGTGTCGCGGCGAGCGAGAACAACAGCCCGCACGAATCGGGAGCGAACACGCCAGGCAACAGGTCAATTCACAGCAGCAGTAAGAAAAAGGACAAGGAGCATGCAGGTGGAACACACATTGTCCATGATCTACGGAGGGTAAGCTGAGCAAGGAACCACGCTTCATGCAGCTCCACATTGACATTTGACATTTTTTCGCCTCCCTTGATCCATAGTTCCTGCACCACCACATCGGTCATCACAGCAGCGCGGACAAGGTGCACTCCAAGGGTGGCTCCTCTCATCACTCGGACAGGAAAGCGTCGGCTAGCGGAACGCCAGGCAGACGCCAAGGGCGAGACTCTCCGCCCCTGGGGGAGGACCACGCACATGTCAAAAAGTACGGCAAATGGGGCAAGGTCCTCGGCTCGGGTGCGGGGGGCACAGTCCGCCTGATCAAGCGCTCCAAAGACCACGCTGTCTTTGCTGTCAAAGAATTCAGGCAGCGCCGACCCGGGGAGAACGAAAAGGAGTACATCAAAAAGGTTACTGCCGAGTTCTGCATTGGGTCTACGCTGCACCACGTCAATATCATCGAGACTGTCGACATCATTTCCGATCATGGGCACTACTACGAAGTCATGGAGTACGCCCCCTTCGACCTCTTCTCAGTTGTCATGAGTGGAAAGATGTGTCGCAAGGAGCTCTACTGCGTCTTCCGCCAGATCGTCGACGGCGTCGACTACCTGCACAGCATGGGCCTCGCGCATCGTGACCTGAAGCTGGACAACTGTGTTATGACGACCGACAACATTGTCAAGATCATCGACTTTGGCACGGCCACTGTCTTCCACTCGCCCGGCAAGTCCAAGGTCGTCGCGACCGGTGTTGTCGGCTCGGATCCTTACCTCGCACCAGAGGTACTGAGCCAGCAGACGTACGACCCGCGTCTGACCGACGTGTGGTCTCTCGGTATCATCTTCCTCTGCATGGTCTTGCGCCGCTTCCCCTGGAAGCTGCCGGACCCGCAGCACGACCAGAGCTTCCGGCTGTACGTCCAGTCTCACCCGGAGCTCTGCCGACCGCCGGCATCGAATGCCAGCAAGGACGGCAACGAGAACGGAGGGTCGATCGACACGCGCGAATCGGCTTCGAGCGCAGGTAGCGGCGCGACAACTTCATCGTCCCAAGCACAATCCACGCCTGCCACGTCGGCGCCCAGCAGTCGCAGTCCATCCGCAGGCGACGGCAACGCCGGCCAGCGAACCGGGGCAAAGGCGCCCTTGTCGCTGACGAAGATGGACGATGCGAACGAGGCCGAGTCGATGGACAGCACGGGCATCGCCTGGACTGCCACAGGTAGTGCTACGCCCACGATCCCAACTGCCAAGGAGGCTGGCTACCTCACGCCTCACTACCCCGGCTCGGGAGCACAGACGCCGTCTATGGGTGACGGAGAAGATTCAGCAGAGGGACACATACAAAACATCACAGGTGGCCTCATGGTCTCTTCCCCCATCACGGACCAGCTCTCAATTCAGCGCCAGCTGTCTGGGGGCACTGCTGTGGCAATACCAAGCAGGGGATCAACAGCCGCTGCCGGAGCGAGGGTCGAAAACCAGTCGATCGACTCGGAAGCGACGTTCAAGTCTGGCGCCGCTGACAGCATCTTCCGTCTGCTGCCGCGCGAGACGCGCAGCGCCCTGTCGCGCATGATGGCCATCGACCCTGCGCTGCGATGCACACTCGGCGACCTGCTGCGCGGCAGGCGGTACAGCGAGATCGACTCGCCGCTCACGCGCACGCCCGTGATGAGCCGGTCCACCTCTAGCGATATGCTGCACAAGGCCATGACCGGCGCCGTTACCGCTGCTGCTGCCGGGGGGTCCTCCGACAAGCACAGGCAACAATCGGGCCTGTCACGCCATCACGACTCGCTGACGCAGCTCTCGCACGCAGAGTTCGAAGACGATGATGATTTCGGCGATGAGTGGCTCAAGAACATCCGCACGTGCGCCCACCTGCGGGTCGAAGGGAAAGGCGAGCATCCGGACCACCCGCATGTGCAGCCGCAGGTGGAGGAGAACAAGAAGAAGCATTCGCTCTTCCATCGATAATCGACGGCACGAACCGATGACACCTTTACCCATCGATCGGAGGAAGAGGAAGGCGCCCACTTTCGCCCAAATTTAACCCGACACACATCAAACCAGAGTAACGATGACGACCTCGCTCCCAGCAACCTCATAGCCCCTCCTTATTCATTCGCCCGAGAGCCCAAGCGAGCAGGCGCTGCTTCCGCTCAGCCGATCGGCCTGTGTCAAAATCTGTTTGTATCTTGTACCATGTACTACATCTTTCTTCAATTACTGCCCTTTAATATACTCGATGAGCCCGTCTCAGGTCGCGTTGCTTTGCGGTTTGCATCGTTGCAGTCAGTATGCGCGCGCAAGGCTGGCTACCTACATCTCTCTCTCTATCGGATCCAGTAGGCGGCCAAATAAAGTAGGGTTGGGGCACTACGTATGGTTGTAAATCCCGCGCCTGCCTTTTTGCAGGAGAACACGTTGGTGCTCTGCGGCCCCTTCTTGACTGTGTGTGCTCTTCTTGAGAGAGGATCCGAAAGTCGAAGAGCAACAGGTGAGCGTGCACTACAAGCATAGCCTGCAGGGTGCGAGCGTGCGGAGCCGATCGACAGGAGAGGCGATCAGTGAAGGCTGTTGCGAGCAGCAGATCTACTGATCGTGGTCATCGACCACCATCATATTGGGGGGATCCATCTCCTTCTTCGCCTCCCTCTGTGGCTGGCAGTGGCCTGCCCATCTCGCCGCCACCCAACCGGGGCTGGCCAGCGAAGGGAGGGTCACCTTTGGCCTCGCCCTCCTGCTACGTCCGTGCTGGCCGACCCTCTGGACCAGAATCGCTCATTGGGCCAGCAAGTCAAGGGTAATACGCTCTCCACGTGGCAGGACCGTGTCGTCATCGGCTCTGTATGCTGCCAGACTTTTCGCTCATACTGCTGATGCCATCGGGTCTAGCAGAGCCGCATTAGTGTGAACGTGGGGCCCGTCTCAGACGCAGGTGTAGGCGTCAGGGAAGATACAAACAGCAACGTCGCGAGTAGCAGTGCATATTGACTCGCGCAGTCGCAAGTATCGGTACAACCGGAAACTGAGCCAGCTTCATCGTCTTCCCATCAGGCGACGCTAGACCGCAGTCATAGGCTTCGGTCACAAAGGTAGTCAGGATCTTTCAAACCAAGGCAGCTTGACTATGGCGGCCGACGTGTCATCGTCTTCAACTTCCGCTGCATGGTCTGCAAACAATGCTGCTGCAACGGCCCATCAATCCAGTGTCATGCAGTCGCAACCAGACGTAGGCGCTTCTCCAGTTGCAGTGCAGAAAGCTCAAGCACAAGCGACCACATCACTCCAGCAACATCAGCACCTTGTATCGAAGACCAACGCTGTTGAGCCTGGACGCTTCTCGGCGCTGCCCTCTCCAGGTCTGATGCTCGACGGGCCGGCGGACAAGCTGCCCGGAATTCAAGCGCAGCTTCACAACCTGCAAGCCTCTGCCACGAACAAGTGCGTATAGTAGCGACAAAGCTCTGGAAAGATGCTTTCCTGATATGTTTTCTTCCCGCTCACAGCTTCGCTGCCGCCCTCGAAGCGGACCAGCGTGCAGCTCTGCAGCCCACAGTTGACACGCCATTCACCTCGACAGAAGACATCATCAGGCGCTTGCTCCCTTTCCACGTCTTCCAAATTCCATCGGAAGACCTGGACTATGTCATCAATCAGCACAAACAGCAGCATCGTAATCGATCACTCAAGCGCAAGCGGCGGCGGATAGAGACACCTGTGGAGGCTGCTTCTGCGTCCGCGACGTCAGAGGCAACGCCCACAGCTGCACCAGCTCCTCTCCTTGCGTCTGCACAAGAACATGCTTTGCAATCAGAGAGCTTCGCTGATGCATCAGCAGCCGCTTCTACAAGTTGTGCCGCAAATAGCCAAGCCGAGGTAGGACCAAGCAGTGTAGCGCCTCTGGCAACGATATTAGAGCCATCCTCGAACGAGGTCAACGGGCAGCCAAGCAAAAAGAAGACTCGATTGCGAGTTAGACTACCTGCAGCACCATCGGGGTCATCAAGTGAAGGAAAGGGAAAAGACAGAAGAGCCTCGGTTGTCACGGTTGGCGGCCTGAACGGATACGAGATTGCGTCGGAAAAGGGCGAGGACGGGGACTCTGCTTCGAAGAAGGACCAAACACCTCAGCCACCGCCCGAGCCAGAGCCTTTCGTGCCGTGGTGGGAAGCGGATTTGTCCTGCTCCTCCACATCTGACTACACCGTTGGATTCGATCACAACGATAGCTTTCCATCAATGATTGAAGCGATAGACTTATTTGACCGCCACGCCTCCATCAGCGAGCGCGTGATGAAATTGCTGATCGGAGCAGATGGCGGCTATACACGCGCGCAGGGCCAAGTGTTCTTGGAGACGCAACTGGACCGGTACAATTTAGAGTACGAGCGCGAGTTGCTGCAGCAGGACACACAGCTGCTGGTCCAAGCACGGACTCGATGGGAGACCTTTGCGCGCGAGCATCCGGAGGCTGCCAAAGCCGCGTTGCCGCCGCCGCCACCACCACCTCCGCCACATCAACCTCAGCCTCAGATGCAGCCGCCTTTAGCACGGTTGCCACCACACCAGCCGAGTCCAGCGTCTACGCTGGCGTCGCGCACAGTGCAAATAACTGATGCAGCCACATCAGCAAAGTCGACAGACCTTTCATCGCAGCAGCACACAAAATCGAGTGGTGCACAGCCACAACCGCACAATCAAGCCCCGTCATCAGCAGGCGCACAAGGGGGTTCTTCAGCATCAGCACGTTCAAGCATACCAAACCAGCCCATCCCGCTACAGATTCCGCTGTCCGTCTTGCCGCGTTTGACGGCTCTCGGCATGAACGCCATCCCCGCTCCGCATCTTGTGCCTGCGCTTGCAGCGAGCGTCTCGATGGGAGCCGGAGCAGGGGCTGGGACTGATTCTGGCACAATCGATGCCAGTAGCTACTTACGCAGCATCGGCCCAGCTACTGCACCGCGCAGTGCGCCGCCCGATCAGCGCGAGCCGGCTTTGCTCATGGGCATCACCCAGACGCAACCATTACAGCAGCAAAAAGTTCAAGCGTCTTCAGCTTCTGCTGCTGCTACCCCAGCCTTGCACGTGCTGCATATTAGCGTGCGCCTCGACAAGTTGCTGCCGCACCAGCTTTCCGGGCTTGCGGCGATAATGTCAGGCTTACAGGCGCAGGCACAAGCGCAGGCACATGCACAGAAGCAGACAAAGACGAAGGCGCAAACGCAAGGATCGGCACAGGCACAGGTTGAGGCTGCAGTGAATGCAGAAGCAGGCGTTGCCGATGCCGCAGGCGCATCCCAGTCGCAGCTGCCATCGCAGCCACAGACAAGCGCCGCGGCGCTAAATGAGCCTGTAGCTAGTAATGCTTCCCCCGCGCCTGGTCCTGGGTAAGGCCAAGGGCCAAGGTCGCGCCAGGCGCGCTCGCCGCCCAATGCATAATTGCACAACGCACTTCGTGGCACTGCGGGAGTGAGCTTCAGTTCCTAGTGTTCCATGAGACATGCGCGTACGGAGTTGGTGAACCGCATCAGGGCATTTTCCTTGAGAAGGTTCTGCTAATGTACATTGCCGCCAGTGGATCGGGTCTCCGCCTGCGGCAGCTATGTCGACGATCGTGTCAGGGTCAATCGATCACCTCGGCCTGGGACAGTGCCTTGCGCCTCGCGCCGCCTTCCTCCTGGCGGTTGAGGCGGCGGATGTGGAAGGCAACGCGCTTGGCCATGAACTCATCATCCTTGAGGTTCCTCGGTTCGATGCGCTGGCTGCAGCCCGACACGGGGCAGATGGCGCTGCCTTTGGTGCGCTGCTCACTCAGGACGTACTCCTTGATCGTCTTGCGCGAGTAGACGTGGGAGCAGGCCGTACTGCGCGTGCAAGCGAAAAAGAGAAGAAAAGGGGAGTCGTCAGCCATTTACGAAGTTAATAGCATCTGGTGGATGGGTCAAGCGAAGACCACGAAAAAAGACTGACTTGATGACTGGATTCTCAAGCAAGGCTTGCGTGAGCGGATCCTTGAAGTTAGTCGTCATGCCTCCGATCTGCAGCTCGTCATCATCGTCACCCAGATCATTGCGGTTGCCGTTCTCTGCACAAGCCGGGTGGGGCGGGAGCGAAAGGGCGTGGAACACGCGCGTCAGCGTCGGTAACCAGTTGCGCCCCCCGGAGGGAATGAGACAGGTCGCAGGATTGACATACCAGCAGGTATGATCTCGCTCATGGACGGCATGGGCTGCCCCTGGTTCCTCGCGGCGGCGTCCCACGCGAGGGTCCTGAAGTTCTCGTACAGTTTACTTTTGAGGTACTTTTGGCGCGCCGTCTTGGCGAGGTACGCCTCGTTGAGATTCTTGGATGCGCCGTCGTACTTGGCGACGAGGTCCATCTGCACAATGTGGGAAGGCGGGTATGGGAGAGTATGAGCAGGCGCTTTCAGAGGTCATTCCCAATCTAATATGATCGGGAAAGGTACTATTTGTATTCTCACCCCTTCGGCATCGTCGTTCACGACGTCATCCCTGATGTTTCCGAGGATGCGTATGCGGCCGTTGGCCGTAAAGCAGGCGTCTATCAGATCGCGGACGTCCTTGTCAAGCTGCCTGAAACGCTGTTTGGGCCGTGCGAGGAAGCGCGAAGGGGGCAGCATGGAATGTGGAGAAGTATGTGTCAGAGCGAGGCGTTCACTGCTGGGAGCGTTAGGGACACCTACTCACCGGATGCTCCTCCTCGCCGCCGTGGTACTCTTCGAGCGCGATGATGGCGTCGGCGAGGACCTGATTGGTCTCCTCAGCGCTCTTAAGGAAGGCCTCGATCTCCTTGATGGATCGGGAGATGAGCTTGTCGGCCATGTGCGCATCGACCGGCTGGTCGATCTTGACCGTGTCCTCCCACATCTGCCACTTTGCACGCTCATGCTCCGGGTCCTCCTCGTCTTCCTCGTCTTCGGAGACATGAATCGCCTGCGTCAGCGCCTTGAACGCCTGCGTGCGCGCCTGTCCGCCGGGCTCGGCGTCGTCAAACCCGAGGTCGGCGCCCCCGGCGCCAACTTCCTCCTCGTCCTCCTCATCGTCGTCGTCGCCGGCCTCCCGGCGCGAGCGGCGCCCCTTGTTGCCCCTTTCCGATAGGCGCTGCGAGTTGCGGCCGTACGTTGCACGCATGCCCTTCCGCGATGGACCCTCGTCCTCCTCCCCTAGATCATCCTCTTGCTCTTCCTCCTCGTCATCTTCATCGATTACCTGCGTGGTGCGCCTGCGGTCGCCGCCGCCGCTGCTTCGCTGACCTTGTGTCTGTTGCATCTGGGAGCGCGAGCTGCGCGGCGGTCGCCCTGCGCGCTGCGTCGCGCTGCTCCCGTCGGCGCCGTCTTGATCCTCGGAGGCGACGCGCCTGCGGGCTGAGCGCAGGGGCGGCATGGCTGTGGGGGCGGCTATATGTGCTGCTGCTGCTCTGCTCGATGCTTGCGAAGCGTGCGCGCCTGCTGGGCGTGCATGTATGCATGCATGCTATGCGCCGCTTGTCCTGGTGGCCGCTGTACCGGGTCTCCCCCTCTCCCATATCATATCAATCATATCATCGTCAGCTCGCGTCGCGCTCTTCGCATCTGTGGAAACACATGGTGACGCATTTCGTCATTTCGAGATGGCGGGGCGGAACGCGAACCCACCGTCGGTCAGATTTTCTTCGTTTTCTTGGAGAGGGGAGATCTCGATAACCCGTATCCCAGTGTCACATGGTCCTATTATACACGCAGCGCAGCTTCTCATCCCAGCATAGCACAGCACAACGCAACCCCTGAAAGAGACCGCAGCAGACAGTTGGCTTTGTCGTCCAAGCTTCTCAGCCCGATCCGCACGCGAATCTTGCAAACGCGTCCACGCGTGTAATCCTCCCCCCCCGCCAGCGCAACCGTGGATAGAGTGTGCTACAGTCAAACACGGCAAGATGAAGTATATCATCGTCAGCGGTGGTGTCATCTCGGGCATCGGAAAGGGCGTCATCGGTGAGCAGCCTCGAGCCGCCGTGCTCGTGGTCAAAAGAGCTGATAGGGACTGACCCTCTCACCATGCCTGTGCGACTGCACGTCGCTCCGGCTACCCCCCAAAAACCTCCAGCCTCTTCGACCGGGTTGCTGCTCAAAACGCTCGGCCTCAAAGTGACGGCCATCAAAATCGACCCATACATGAACATCGATGCAGGCACCATGGCCCCGACCGAGCACGGCGAGGTCTTTGTCCTCAACGATGGCGGAGAGGCCGACCTCGATTTGGGCAACTACGAGCGCTACCTCAATGTCACCCTCCGCCGTGATAACAACATCACTACCGGCAAGATCTACCGTCAAGTTATCGAGAAAGAGGTGAGGCGAAGCGAGGCAGGGGCGTGCTGCTCAGAGCACTGCTGATCAAAGGCGGTTGTGATGTGCAGCGACGGGGAGACTACCTCGGCAAGACGGTTCAGATCGTGCCGCACCTGACGGGCGCGATCCAAGATTGGATCGAGCGCGTGGCCAGGCTGCCCGTCGATGAGACCGGAGAGGAGCCCGACGTGTGCATCGTCGAACTTGGCGGTACCGTTGGCGACATTGAGTCTGCGCCGTTTGTCGAAGCGCTGCGCCAGTTCCAGTTCCGAGTCGGGACGGAGAACTTTGCCCTGATCCACGTCAGCTTGCTGCCCGTCATCGGCGGTGAGCAGAAGACCAAGCCTACGCAGGCGGCGATCCGCGACCTACGCGGCCTGGGCCTCGTCCCGGACATGATCGCCGCGCGCTGCGCGACGCCGCTCGACCACGCGGTCATTAACAAGTTGTCCATGTTCTGTCACGTCGGGCCCGAGCAGGTGCTTGCCGTGCACGACGTTAGCTCAACATACCACGTCCCACTGCTGCTTGAGCAACAGGGCATGGTGCGCTACTTTGAGCGGCGCCTCGGCCTCGACGTCAATGGCATCCCCGAGCCGATGAAGCTCAAGGGCCGCACGCTGCGCACGCGCTGGCGCGAGCTCACCATCGGCCACGACCTCCCGCTGGACAAGGTCGAGATCGTCCTCGTCGGCAAGTACACGTCGCTGCAGGACAGCTACATGTCCGTCGTCAAATCGCTCGAGCACGCTGCGCTGCGCTGCAGTCGTAAGCTCGTGCTCAAGTGGGTTGACTCGAGCGACCTCGAGCCGCACACGGAGAAGGACAACCCGGTGCGCTACCATGAGGCGTGGCACAGCCTCTGCTCAGCCAAGGGCATTATCGTCCCTGGCGGCTTTGGCCAACGCGGCACGGAGGGCATGATCAGCGCGGCGCGTTGGGCACGCGAGAAGAAGGTCCCCTACCTCGGCATCTGCCTCGGCTTCCAGATCGCGGTGATCGAGTACGCGCGCAACGTCTGCGGCATCACTGCCGCTAACAGCGCCGAGCTTGACGCCAAGTGCGCCGACCCAGTCGTTGTGTACATGCCCGAGATCAGCAAAACGCACCTCGGCGGCACGATGCGGCTTGGCCTGCGCCCGACCATCTTTGGGCCTGGCACGGAAGAGTGGTCGCGGATACGCAAGCTGTACGGTGGCGAGCCGGTTGTTTGGGAACGCCACCGCCACCGCTACGAGATCAACCCGCAGTACATTGAGCGCATCGAACGCGGCAACATCGACCCCGCCGCCAAGGCTGCCAAGAAGTTGATCAGCCGACCCCCGCCTGAGCGCGTGCCATCGCTGCCAGAGGTCACGTTTGGCCTGCCGAAGGATACACCGCGGGTGGGCCCCCCGGCGGACGAGCTCTTCTTTGTCGGCAAGGACGAGAAGGGGGAGCGCATGCAGATCGCGGAGATGAAAGGTGAGCGCTGAGCCGGTCGGACGTCGTATCATGCCGGTGGGACTCTTCTAAACTTGTTTCTCTCTCTCGGCCCGCAGACCACCCATATTTTGTCGGCCTGCAAGCGCATCCAGAGCTCGTATCGCGACCGCTGAACCCCTCCCCGCCGTTCCTCGGCCTCGTCGCCGCCGCGGCCGGCATCCTGGAGCAGCAGATCGCGGCGCAGCTGAAGGATTTCGTCCCACCGCATCCAAAGGACCTTTTGATCCTCGAATCAGAGGCGCAGCGCCGCAGGGAGCTGGGGCAGGACACAACCAATACGGAGATCAAGCCGGCCACGACACCGCCGGGCGTGTCGACACCCGTGCGAAGCCGCTGTCCCGACAGTGAAGAGGTGCACCCCAGCGGGTCTCCCCTGATCAATGCCTCGTCAAGTGAGGCTCCTTAGCACACATATACATAGAGCAACAGCAGCAAAAAGTATCAAAGTCGCAGCGGCCGGTGGTGTGGGTGCGTTGCGAAAGAGAAATGATCATGATGTCTTTGCAGTAATCTACCATTGTAAATGCCTGTTACCACACCAGTACCGAAAGGAAAGTAACAAATGCGAATATGCCTCAGGGTGTCTGGTCAAAATTCAATGGGAAGGAAGCTGCGGGGTATGCTGCGAAGGTGTGTGTACATGTAGGCAAGAGGGAGGAAGAATATCCCGCGCCAGGCTTCTCTTCTACCCTAGCTATGCCCTGTATCTAGAAAGCGGATTTGGGCGTAAGCGGCGACGCAGACCTCTGGCCGAGACGGGTGAGCATCATCTTGCTCGCCTCTTGGCGTTCAGCCGTGCGCTCGATTGTAGCGGAGTGCGGCACGTTGTCAAAAGCATGCTGCTGCTGATCACGGCTGCCTCGCAGCTGGCCGGAGCGGAAGCCTTGCCTCCCGGGAGGGATGTAGATCGGCTTGGACCTGGCCAGGGGCGAATCGATCGCCGTGGCAGCCTGGAGCGTCGCCGCTTTCCTTGGCATGTTGAGGCCCGCACGCGCCGGGAGCGGCGAGTCGGGGATCGCGCGCGGAGACGGGCTGCCGCTGCCGCTGTGCGCAGCAGCGCTGGGGCCGAAGCGCGCGGCGACTGCTTCTGCGACGGTGCGCGCGACGTGAGCATGCGCGGCAGCGGGGCTGAGCCTGGCGCTCGCCGCGGAGGAAGGAGATGCTGCTACTGCGGCCGCCTCCTCCTCGGCTATCTGCTGCTT